ACTTCCCCATCCCCTAGACAGAAAGCCTGGAAAGGGAGTGCTTTAAATTCTGCTCTGCAGTTTTCGGGGAGAAGATGATTCCGTTGTAAATTATTGAACATTTCATTTAAGCTTCATAAATAAGAAACTCAGATGAAAATGTTACATGTTAGATCCGTTTGGCAACATATAATTTCTGTCTTACTCCCTCAATCTGTCACCCTTCATCTACGTTGGAGAATTTCTACTTCATTATAGGCAGCTGAAGGTCTCGATAAGTTGTCTGAGAAGAGTAGTTTATGTCCCAAAGGTAATCTAATTTCTGCAACCAAGGATGTACCTGGGACTCACGGCACATATGGACAGAGATAAATGTGGACTTGGAGCAGATCTGGGGGTGTTGCAATCACTAACTCAATCTAGAGGCAGGTAGTCAGCCCAGCAAGGGTGAGCTCCTCACTGGCACCTGGAATCCTTGAATCTCTGGTTTCCATCAGAGCTAACAAGCCATGCCTCAGCAAACCAGCAATGACAATTGTACCTAGGACAACCTGTGTATGCCTGGAGCACTTCCTGTAGCTGGTGAATCTACCCACACATACATGAAAAATAGACTCAAAAGCCTGGAATAGTTCTCCTTCAGGGTAGTAATGATAATGGCTGCCATCACTGCGAGCAGGCACTGCCCTTTATATAATTGATGCATTTAATCCTCCAATAACCCTCTGGTAAAGATAATGTTTTTATTCCCATTCTCCATAACTGAGGTGCAAAGATGTTAAGTAATCAACATTACACAGGTAGAGGGTGGCACTGACTGAGTCCTAGTGCGGGCATGACAAATTTTAGCCTCTTTTACCTCTCCTGGTGTTGCCATTTCAGAGAAAGAAAGAACTGAGTGTTGAGGAAAGGCTGACACTGGTTCCAGAGAGAAAACGGGGTAATTCTAGTGCCCGCCCAGAGGGCTCTGGGACAGTATTTCTTCCTTAGAGGGAGCCTGGCCAGTAATCAGATCTGGTCAGCTCTGGTCTACACTCTCTTCCCGGGCTTTCTGTCTAAGGGATGGGGAAGTGGGACTCCCTTATAGGTTTGTGCCTGCTGCTTTCCTTTGACTGCATGACTGTACTCAGCCCTACTGTGGAGAGGGTTTGGCACCACTTTGCTATTATGCAGCATTCCCTTGACTATAGCAAGTTGCTTGTTAAAGAGAAGTGGCTTAAAGCATTTCCTATCAAAGTCATCTGTATTACTTCAAGATCTCTGGGGAGTAGGTTGGGAAGGAGGTTGTACCATCCCAGTCCTTCTAAAAGCCTGGAACCCTGAGGCCAGAAACCCAAAGGGTGTCTCTTACTGCGCACTGATTTTTTCTGGTCCTCAGGGTCTTTTTATAAAAGGCAAGTATACCTGGTTAGATACCATTACCCCCAAAATTCATGTCCACCAGAGTCTGTAAGTGTAACTTTATTTAGAAATATTTAATTGTCGGGATCAGCAGATGGCATAATGACTACATCGCTGGACTCCCACGTAGTCAACTGCAGTTCAAGTCCCAGACCCTGTTGCTAAAACTCACACTGGGCGTGTGTGTGTGCATGTCCAAGATCCTGAGAGGAGTATGGAGGAGAAGAGATTGTGGAGTGGCCATCCCCCCGCAGGGATGATTTCTTGCTTTCTATCTCTCTGTCTCTCTATGTCTTTCTGGCAAGTGCATGCTCCCTATAGCAAAAACCTCTCCAAAGAAAGAAAGAAAGAAAGAAAGAGAAAAAGAAAGAAAAGAAAAGAGAGAAAAAAAGAAATATTTAGTTGTTGTAAAAGTCATGATATATGTTTTCATGTTTTTCTATGCAAAAATGGGTCACGACTTTTCTGACTACACAATAAGAGTAATCAAGCTAAGATCATACTGGATTAGGGTGGGTCCTAAGTTCAATGTGACTGTGCTCTTATAATAAGAAAAAGCAAAAACAAAAACACAAGCACACCGAGAGAAGGCCATGGAATAACCAACACAAAGACTAGAGTGACGTGACTGCAAGAGGAGGAATGCCAAGGAGTGTTGAGAGCCACCAGAAGCTAGAAAAGCAAGACAGAGTTCTTCCCTAGAGCCTCCAGAGGGAGCACAGCCCTGCCAATACATCGATTGCAGACTTCTCGACTTCAGACTATGGAAGAGTAGATTCTAGTTTTTGGTAATGTGTTACAACCACCACCTGAAATTAATACCAGGGGGGTAGGGGTGGAGGGTAAGTTTGTTCACCTTGCCTTCCTCACAAGGTTATAGTCAGAGGCACCAAACCATGTTCAATTTGGAAAAGCATAAATGTTAAATAAATGCAGGAGAACATTATAATCAGCCTGGTTCTAGGGGGCCTACACAAGGGTTCACCAGGAGCCTACCTGAAGGACCCAGTTTGATCACTGGAAGCTTCTAGGGGTGACAATTTGATTTCGTTGCATTTTTATACAATTCTAATCCTAATAATTGATGACAAATTTGATGCCAGTAGTGGTAGATGGAATAATGGCCCCCCAAATTTCCACATCCTAGTCCTTATACCTGTAAATGTGTCACCTTACATGCCAAGGGAACCTTGCAGATGTGATTACATTAAAGATCTGCAGCTGGGGAGATTATCATGTACCATCCTGATGGGCCTGAGGTAAACACAGGGCTCTTCATAAGGTGGCTGCATGGAGGATGGAATCAAGCAAAGATGACAATGGAAACAAATACCAGTGAAAGAAACAGATTTGATAAGGCTAAGCTGACTTTGAAGATGGGTTAAAGGGGCCGTGAGCCAAGGAATGTGGGCAGCCTCTAGAAGTTGGAAAAGGCAAGGAAACAGATGCTCCCCTAGAGTCTCCAGAAGGAACGCTGCCAGCAGAGCCATCTGAGTCTTCAGACTTCCTAAAGTCTAAGATAATAAATTCATGCTGTTGTAAGCCCCTAAATTGGTGCAATTTGTCATAGCAGCAATAGGAACTAACATAGCAGTTAAACCAGTTAGTCTGAAAATGAATGTGAAAAGGTTAGAGAAACAACTTCACAGAATTCTAGATATTCTGGGAGTCTCTCTGTGATCGTTTGTATCGAATCCCCAAAGAACTTCCCCAGAGGTTTGTAACACTTAGCTGGACAGTTTTTGCATTTCTTCCATCCTCCCAAGGTCCACCAAAAGTCTTTCTAAAACAGAATCTATAGCTCTAAGTACCACAAAGCCTGAATTACTGACCTTGGCAGGGAGGCAACAGCAACAGGGCTTCTGCATGCCACTGCACTCAGGCCTGACAGACTTGTGCTCTGAGGAAAATTCCATCCACTGTTTCTCTCTAGAAGGGATCTGAAAGACCAGAGACGGCCTCAGCTTCTGTTTGTAAAAAGTACAGCTTGGTCATTGTATTCAACATTCATGAAAAGCTTTAAAAGATCTATATCCACACTATTCCTCTTGATTACATCCCCAACTCATAATTTAAGCAAGAATCCTCTGCACAGGTTTTAGCACCTTGGTACTCTTTTTTTTTTTTCTTTTTTGGAGAGGTTTTTGCTATAGGGCGCCAGAAAGAGAGAGACAGAGAGACAGAAAGGGAGAAATCACCTCCCAGGGAGGATGGCCACGCCACAATCCCTTCTCTTCCATTCTCTTCTCAGGATCTTGGGCACGCACGCATATGTGCCCGGTGTGAGTTTAAGCCACCAGGTTTGGGACTCAAACCACAGTCAACTACAGGGGAGTCCAGCGATGTAGCCATTGTACCAACTGCTGGTCTGGAGACTCTTTTTTTTTTTTTTTTTTTTTAAGAGATATTTTTGAGGGACCACCAGATGGTATAATGGTTACTCCCATATAGTTGACCAAAGTTCAAGTCCCAGACCCAGCAGCTTAAAACACACTGGGCCAGTGTGCGTGCATACCAAAAATCCTAAGATTGCAGCATGGCCATGGATTTCTTGCTTTCTGTCTCTCTGCCTCTCCGGCAAATACACAGGCCCTATAGCAAAAATCTCTCTCAAAAAAAAAAGAAAAGAAAAAATAGAGAGAGACATTTTTTTGCTATAGGCTGAGTGTGCTTGCTGGAGAGACAGAGAGAGAAATCCCCCCACCCCCACCCCAAGGGATGGCCACTCTGCAGTCCCTTCTCTTTCATTCTCCTCTCAGGATTTTAGGTATGCACACACATGTACCCAGCATGAGTTTCAAGCCACTGGGTCTGAGACTCAAATAGCAGTCAATCATGTGAAAGTCCAGCATTCCCCCAGAGACTCTTAAGTACAAAGGGAGACTTTCCAAGAATGAGCACATGTCTAAAGGTCCCTGACAAGGACAGCCTTACCACCTTTCCAGACAAGCAGTGGCACAAAGGAAGCTCCGCTCCAGCTGGTTTATCTTACCGGCGTGGTATGGATTTCCTATGTAGTATAATTGGGATTCTGTGATAGATAAAATTAGGAGAGATTTCAGAGAGGACTAACCACACAATCTGAGCAGGAGTCTAAGATATTTTCTTTCCTTCTTTCATCCTGC